TTTTAATAGGATGGGGTTAACTCTTCCTAAAAATACTGTAGAATTCAGAACTGAGCTATTCACACTTGAGCATTTTCTATTGTTGTTGGGAGGTAATTTATTACTGATTCAATTATATGGCTTACTGTGGGTCTATTCAGGTTTTCTATCTCATCCTGATTCAATCTTGATAGATTATATGCATCCAGGAATTTTTCATACACTCCATGTTCCCTTGATTATTGGTGTATAGTTCTTTATAGTATCCTCTAGTGATATTTTCTATTTCTAATATATCTTTTGTAATGTTTCCTGTTCCATTACATATTATTTTTAGTAGATGATCATTATATGATATAATCTCTTGGTTAATAAACAATTGAATGTTTCCATTCAACTGGTTTTCTTTTGATATAAAGAAAAACATGATTGGTTCCAAATCAATTTTTAGTAGTGTGAGTATTAATACATGTTAAAGAAAATAGAGATACAATGGCCCCAAGTTGATTTATTTATCAAAGTTACAATAAAATACTTTTAAATGTATACAAACTTGCAAAACAAATTAAACTTTTTTAAAGTAAAAATATCAAATGTAATATTTAATGACAGGATAAAACAAAGATATGTTTAATGATTTCTCTTCTGTGTTAAAAGTCACCTTATTGAATGATACATCATGAAATCAATAGTTCTACATCTAGGAAATTTACCAATGGAGCTCTCTTCCACGGGTGTGTATATTTTAATCTGTCTCATGTGGGTCTCTTCCATTTTGGTGATTGGCTAGAACAGCAATCTGTATCATGAAAGTTTGAGTTGGCTTCTTATGATTATCAGTTAAAGGAACGTGAATCCAACCACTTGGTTCCACCAATTCAAGTTGCCTAATTTCCTGAAGGTTGTGGAAGTTATTCCCTACTCTGACTGAGATCTTGCTTGGAGTATAGCTTTCTGTAGTCTGCATATTTGTAGTCTGCATAAATACATAATGTCTTCACTGTTGTTTTTCTACTGAATTGGATGTTCATTAAATGGGGCTGGGAGCCATCTGATTGCCAGTAAGTTTCTAGATTGTCATCACGTAATTGGTCCACTCCAAATCTTGGTTTGCAAGATGAGAGGGACCAAACAGCTTGTGATCCAATTTCCTGTACTGTTCCAGTTCTTTCTAACTGCTTTGGGTCAGCACCAAGAGGTGTCTTGTTTGGTGTGGTCATTTTAAAAATATTGTGGCTCGCTGCATTTCTGGTTCTTACCACCTCCAGCAGCCTGGCACCACTCCCACTCCCCATTACATATTTTTAATCTGGTTTCTTTCTTTCTTCTTTAACAGTTTAGCTACTGGAGTGTTGATTTTGTTAATCCTTTTAAAGAACAATCTTTTGGTTTCATTTATTTTCTGCGAAGTTTGTTTATTTTCTATTTCATTTATTTCTCTTCCATTGTTTATTATTTCTTTTCTCCTGGAGTCTTTTGGATATTTTTGTTGTTCTTATTGCTTTTCCAATACTCTCAGGTGAGATGTTAGGTTGCCTATTTGCCACCTTTTCATCTTTTTCTTATGTTCATTAGTTGCTATAAATTTCTCTTATGATAGTTTTTCACTGTCCCATATTTAATGAAAACACCTGTACTCATTATCATTTGTTTCCATAATTTGTTTGATTTCCGACTTAATTTTTCTGTAGATAAGAGTGATTCAGAAGTATGTTGTTTAGTTTTGATGTGTTTGTGTATTTTTGAGAAATTTTTTGAAATTACTATAGTTTAATTCTAGCATGGTCAGAAAAAATACAAAGTATAGTTGTTTCTATGCCTTTCAATTTCTGAAGACTTGATTTTATCCTAGCATATGGTCAATTTTGGAAAATGTTCCAAGTGAGACTGAGAAAGTAATATATTTTATGGTCTTAGGGTGGAAAGTTTTACAGAATTCTGCCTAGCCCATTTGATTTCCACTATCATTTAGGTCTCTACTTATTTTTTGTTAGAAGTTCTGTCTATAGGAGATAATGGGGTGTTGAGAGCTCCAACAATTACCGTGTTGTAACCTGTCTCTAGTGTTTATCTAGCAGTCTTTCCTTCACATGTTCCAGTGCTCTCTACTTGTGTGCATAGATATTGATAAGCTTCATGCCTTTTTTGTGAATTAGCCCATTTACTATTATATTTAATGTCCTTAGTCATTTATTTACACTTACTGTCTTAAAGCCTATTTTGTCTGAAATCACTACTCCAGCCTTTTTTCAATTTCAATTTTTGTGGGATAACTTACAGACCTTAAATGTTAGTCTGTCTTATTTATAAGGTGTGTTTCTCATAAACACTAGCTAGAGAGTTTGTTTTATCAATTCAGAAATTCTGGGTCTCTTGATTGAATAATTTAATTTATTAACATTCAATGTTACTATCAATATATCTGGGTTTGTTACTATCATTAAGTTATTTATTTTCTTGTTTGTTTATTGTTCTCCTATATCTGTTGTGTGATATTTTAGTTTTCTTGGTATAGCACACCCTTCAGAACATCTAGAATAGTTGTTCGGGAGTTAGTAATTTCTTACATTTTTTTTAATCTGAGAATTTTTTTTATCTTTTTTTCCATATGAAATATAATATTGTGTGTAAATTGTTTACAATTATTTTTAATTAATATATTGACTATATAACCCCATTCAACCCCATTCTTTCCTTTTTGTTGAATTTTTTATTTCAGAAGCTGTAAATTCTCCATATGAGATTCAAACTCTGGCAAACTCTAATCTGCTTTTAATACT